CACCTCAGAAAATCGCTTCGTGGCCGCCTCTTTTTCCTCAGCAGGGTGCTTATCTGGGTGATGTTTCATGGCCAGCTGTGGGGACCATGGATGTTGCGGTAAGTTCTTGTCATAGAATGGGCAGAAGCACGTGCGAAAAGTATGATCTCGAGACGCAGGTCCGCCACACGCGCGTTGAGAGGTACCTACCTTCCGATATTGCTTTTTCAGTTGAGCGTCGGTGGCCGTCTTCTTCACGCCTAAGATCTATGAATTAAGAGTCAAGGATCTGAGATTTCAACATAGGAGAAGACTCTACAAACAGATCAAGTCGGGCATTACGACTCACGACATACCTTGTAAAGGTCCTTGGCCTCCGCAATTTGAAGGCAGAAGAAGAAAACTAGCAGGATGGCGACAAATGACACCTTTAATTGATGGAAGTATGATCATGTGGCATGTGAAAAAGGAAGTGAAGTAAAGAACAGCATCGGACCAGGAATGGAGGGAAAGGCGGGGGTCGGGATGCTCGCTCCTCTTTATCCCCCCTGTGTGAATCGACTTCACCGCCACACGGAAAATCACTCACTTGTCCAAGCATTGTGAAGCTTGTCTTTAAACGCATGGTGGTTTTTGCCAGCTTGCTTTCGTTGTGCAGGCTCTGAGACGCAGAGCTCAATTTGAATGATGGCCTTCCCGAGGAGGCAACGCGACGTTGCGCTGTGAAGTGTTGGCGAATGCGGCAGTTAGAAGCCGATATTAGCATCAAACCATTCCACGCAGCATTCCAGTGTAAATGAAGAGCGTGAGCGGAAGTCCTTTGGAACGGAAAGACTGCGTGACCTCATTCGTCTAGACGGCACTTTCAAACGCGCTCTCGCCAAGACAGGGCAACGTCGGGAGGTCGAAGGCGGCGCTTTTGGATAAAGCGGCCTCACGTTGACAGCCATCAAGCTTCATTCTTTGTGCTTTTTCGTATGAATAATATGATTGATATGGATGATATGGATAAGATATGGATGATATGGATAATATAGACATAATAGTACAGATTTTGTTGTTTTTGCTCTCAAATGCTCCCCCTCTGTGGTGCTATCGCGCCCAGGCCGTGAGGGATCCGTTAATATTGATAGGCAAGTCGTCCAGTGTTGAAGCAAATATTCTATAAGGAGTGAATAAGTTCGACAGAATGACGCTGTTAAAAGGTCTCAATGCTTCCTCTTTTATGATACGTTTGTTCTCACTTCGTCTGACGCAGTCCCTGCACGTGAGTGCAAGTTGCATGTAATGATCACACTCCATGACCCACGCAAATGTCATCGACTTCCTGCCATAGTTATTCACGGATCATACTGTGCTTTTTTTTTTAGATTTATTGGTAGTAAACAATGCCATACGAGGCGACCACTGATTTAAATGAAAACAGTGCAATCGTTCGCATGAAGGCCTGCCTATCGAAGTTCGAGACCGAGGAAGGAAGACTGAAAGGTTTTGCATTCAAGCCTTCCCCAACCGATATACTTGTTGTTACGTCGCCTAAAGCCGGCACAACTTGGATGCAGCAGATTTGTCATCAATTGCGGACATGTGGTGACATGAACTTTTCCGAAATTTCAGAGGTGGTTCCTTGGGTAGAGCTTGCGCACGATCTTGGGCAAGACCTGAACGCAGACCAGGGGGGGCTGAGCCCGCGGCTGTTCAAAAGCCACGCGTGGAAACCGCATGTGCCCAAAGGAGGGCGTTACATCGTGTGTTTTCGGGATCCTGAGGATGTGGTCTACAGCTTTTATCGCTTCTTCGACGGGTGGTTCATCCAACCCAAGGGCGCCGTGTCTTTCGAGGTGTTCGCTCGCGAGTTTTTTCTTCACCGAGATTATCCGACGTCTCCGATGCAAAATGCATCGTATTGGCATCACTTGGTCAGCTGGATGGAAAATATCGTCAAAAAGGGCGGTGGGCAGGAAGATGAGGACGTGCTCTTGGTTGCCTTCGAGGACTTGAAGGGAGACCTGGAGCGCCAGGTGAGACGGGTCGCGACTTTCATGGGGTACACGGGGGGTGAATTCGAAGAGCGTGTCCGCGTGGCGACTGAGCACAGCTCCTTGGCCTTCATGCAGAGGCACCGGGACAAGTTCGACGAGCACCTGACAAAGGAGGCGCGCAATGAGGCCATGGGGCTACCGCGGGATGCCGGGCGAGAGAACGCCAAAGTGAAGGAGGGAGGCGTGGGGGCGGCGGCAGTGGCAATGTCGCCTGCGCTGCGTGAAGCCATGCAACGCCGATGGCAAGAAGTGGCGAGCGAGTCGCTCGGCTTCGGCGATTACAGCGAGCTGCTCGTGTGGCACAGGCAGCAGCAAGTGGGGCTAAATGGGAGCGAGCCTTAAGCAAGGAAAGGCGCGTAATACTTCTCATAATTGTGATTTCTTTGATTTTCTCGAACATCTCTTTACCCCTCAACATCCCCTCCCTTGCGCTGCACTGCTCTCTTGCTCGCTCAGTCCGTAATGACGGCCATGTGCCTGTGCCCGCATGCTACCTTCACGACCCCCCGCCCGGCCAGCCCATCGGCAACCAATTTGGGGTGTGGCGTGTAGCTTCTGGTGCCGTGGCCCAGACAAAGGGAAGACCCTTTCCCAAAAGTGAACAGCTGGTGCGCGTCCTCCGTGACCACGGCCGTGTGGCTGCCGCCGCACCCGACTTGCCAGACCTTATCCCCCTCCCCAACCCTAAAGACCTGGGGCTCCAAGTGGATCTTCATGCCCCACATGTAAAGTTCTCCCTCCTCGGTCACTGCCGCCGAGTGTGAGTGCCCCGCGGCCACGTGCACCACCTTTTTGCTTTCCAGAGCCTCGACAAGGAGTGGCACCGCCTCCATCGAGTACACATCCATGCTGATGCCGCCGCCCAGGCCCAACTGAGGTGATGGAATTATAAGGAGACATGTCAGTCTTTCATTTCCTCTGAATAAAAGTGGCGGTGAACGATCTTCAAGTTGTAAGTGCGTGACGTTCTCGAAGCTGGCGGCAAATGCCCCGTTCCACACGCCACAGCCTCCCCCAGCCCCTACCTGGCCCTGTTCGTTCCTTCCCCAGGTAAAGATTTTGCCGTCCTGTGTCAGCACCAGATTGAAGGCGTGGCCTGCCGCCACCTCCACGATGTTGGTCCTGCGCCGGGGAGGAGAATGTGAGGGACGAGGATCAGAACCCCGGGCCGCGGCAACGGCCACCCCTCCCAAGACAACTTACTTCTCATCGAACAACTCCACAGGCTCGGGAACGCCATGGTCACTGCTACCGCCGTTCCCCAACCTGCCGTACTCCCCGTTGCCCGCCGTCAACACCTCCCCGTCGTCGGTAAGGATCAGCGTGTGCTTCTCTCCGCATGCCACGCTCCCCACGCGGCACCCATAATCCACGAGACTTCTCACAACTTTTGGTCGCGGCTGCTCAGCCTCATCTCCGTGGCCTAGACCGCCGATGCCCCCGAAAAGCGACCCACCCCAACCCCAGGTCCAAAGCCTCCCGTCCTCGTCGATGGCTGCCGTGTGAAAATCGCTAAATGCGAAATAGGTAGCCAAAACATGAAGAAAGGAGGGAAAGCGGGAGGAAGGCATCAATATAAGCAGTTTTATATTGCAGGTAGTACCCGGCCACGGCAAGGGCCTAAGCACAGGCACGCAAATCTTCGCGCACACACTGACACACCTGCTCCTTGCCTAACAACTTCGAAGCCGAGTCGGGATCTACCCACTGCTTACCCGCATGCCACCTTGACTATCTTCACGTCTTGAAGGGCCTCCACCTGCCTGGGGCGGTATACGGGCTTGCTGTCGCCGTGGCCGAGCTTGTGGTTGCTCCCGTCACCCCACGTGTATAATTTCCCGTCCTCTGTGACCCCAGCCGAGTAGTTCAGCCCTGCAGCCAGGTCCACAAAACCCCAAGGGTTGTGTTTTTCTATTTTTTGCTGGTCTTGTTCAGTGTCGAGCCGTAGCTCGCGCGGTGAAAGCTCGACGTAAGCCCCCGTAAGAGCACTTTTTTGTATGGGAGAATGACCCAGCTGTCCTTCGGTGCCCTGACCCCACGCAAAAACTCGCGTCGAGGGCACGATGGTATGAGATGACGTTGCAGACAATGTTGAGAAAGTTGTCGATTGCCTTACACGCGCAACTGCCGGTACGCCTCGTAATTTGGCCTAGATGAGAGTGATGGAGGTCATCGCTGTGAAGGCTTGCGTGTGCCTACTTTAAAAACTAAGAAGACTATTTTTAACTACGTTAGAATCGGCACCCCCCTCACACATACCTGAGCCACTGCAAGTCGTCGACATCTCTGCTGTAGTAACGCTCTCATGGCTGGGTAGCAATTGGAAAGATGGGGGGGTGCGGGGTTGAACGACAAGACATCACAGGTCACTCTCCGCTACCTCGACCCATGGCGGCCACAACAAGGAATGCATATCACACGCAGACCAATTCAAGACTTTCGACCCTTTTTTCGGCATTTTCCCCTTGGTTCTTTCAAAATACATGTTTCACTTAAAACAGTTTCATCGCTTGCTTTTCGTCATCCCTTCCTTGCTTGGACTGTAACCTCCCCTCCTTTTTTCCCTCAAGGGCTTCCTACTGCCCCTTTGCCCCGAACGCACAATCAGGCTCAGGCTGAATAAAAGCTGTAGATGTAGGGCTCTGGGACAAGTCTGGGTTTGGCGACGAGTTCCTTGCCAATCTTTCCACCTTTGGTTACAAGGTGTCGCGCCATGAGGATGAGGACTAGGAACGTGATGAGCAGGGAGCCGAGGAATAACTGGGGCAGCACCTCCTCCTCAGGTTTCAGGACCATGGCGATTGAGAAAACGGCCACCAAAATGACAAACACTTTGGTCATAAAAGACGATAGCTTTCCTTGGGTCGCAGGCGGGTAGAGAAAAGGGGAAGGCAGGGCTGGGTCGGGCCTGAAGCGGCCGAGCATCAGGTCCAAGGCGTCTTGACGCGTGGCATCGATAAAATTGTTTTTGTAATATCGCATCACAGAATTTACACCGTCTTGTAAAGCGCCATTGATAGTACGCTTGCCAGTTCGGGTAAAGTCTGTCTTGAGAGCGCCGGTTCCTGAGTAGAGGACAGACATAGCGTCTGCGTTGTTCCCCCACACGTCTTTGAAGACCTTTTCAAACGACGGAAACGGGGTCTCTAGTACATGAGCTCCGTCCAAGGCAAGTGCGGCCTTCTCTTTCAGCTGTACAAGGAGTGATCGACGTGCGATGATGCTCTGCACGACATTGGTTCGATCCAGGTTGTCCAAGCAATTGGTGCGAATCACGCCCTTTTGGAGATGCGTGACCGAGCCGTCCGCCGCCCGCGCGAAAAAAGACTGCTTCTGAAATTCGGTTTCCACCTCCTGCAGAAGTTTTGCCAGATTTCCGTAACGCATCTTCTTGCATTCGTGGTGAAAATCAAACCAGACGTACCGCAGGACCTTGCTCTGAAGCTCGTCGATGGCTTGCTTGAAGCGGATGCCCAGAGCCTGCTCGTCCTTCTTCATGTTCACGAGGTTCACGAAAACAACGCCTTCCGGCCCGTATAGCTCTACCAGCTCCTCCACGTGCTTTCGCGCCGCCGCCTGCCCCGTGGCCGCCTCCCCGAAGAATACCCGCGGTGTGTACTTGAGGGAGACCGGCGAGTGCCACTGCAGAGGGATGGAGCCTCGGACCTGTACCAGCGCCGTTTGACGCCCGTCCTCGTGCAAGAGTGCCTGCTCCGTCTCCACAAAATTCGCGACGCGCCCCTCCTCGTCGGCCCCCCGCATGGTGAAACGACACCCCTGCCTGTGCCGAGAGCGCCTCGAAATGAAGAGCAGATGGAACCGGTGCGAGCCTGCGCTACAGTTCTGTCGGAGGTCCACGTAGGCATTCATCATAGGCACAATCCATTCGTGCGCTTTTGCGGCCACAAGCTCTCCAACCACGTCTCTGTTCCAGAAAAAGCGGTCGTCCGCCCGCTGCCAGAGCGGCTTCTTGACCCTGTCCTCGGGCGACACGCCCGAGAGGCGCTGGAGGGTTTGCGTCACATCGTGGTTCAGGCTAAAGTAGAAATTGTGGCTGGAAATGGCGAGGTGCAGAAGCTCCAAGTACCGATCCTCGTCTGCCTGCTTCTCCTCCGTGAGGGGTACATTGTTCTTGATTAATGGGAGGACAGCGACTTTTGCTACCTTGCGAAACTCTATCCCGTCCCCCAATGCCACCGTTACTTCCGAGTCCGTAACAAGCACCATGTACGGGCCCGAGAGAAGGTGGTAGATTCCGAAAAGGGCATCCACGGGGATAAGCTGACCACCCGCCGTCTCTCTCGAAACCTTGCCTCGTTCGTCTACATAAGCTTCCAGAGGCGCCTCAGGCACACTTCTTGAGATGATTAAAGCAGCGCCCGAGTCAGTGCGCTCTATTGCGATTCGATCGTCAAAGAGATGAAGGTTAAAGGGTTTGCTTGTCATGTTTGTGTCAGTAGGAATGGCTGGGTTTTCGAGGGAATGTCGTGTGGGCCGTTTCGACGCCGGAGTGCGGCGCAGTTCAGGGGCGTGTGAGCTGCCACGAAGACGCGACAAATTACTATCGTATATACAGTGTGTTGTCCTTTACTTCCTGTGTTTTTTGTGTGCGGATGTGAGGGGATGACGAGCGCAAAAAACGTCCAGGCACACAAGGGGGGTCGCCATCTTGCCATGCGCGCATCCAGCGAGGCCGGCGGGCGAGTCCTGGCACTTATGTCCTCGAGACCCATGCCTCCATTGCGACGCCGGTCACCGCCTGCCTTTGGCTCCATGCATCACCCTCCCCTCGCCCTCCTAGCTCTCCTCTTAAGCAGGCGTTGAACCTCGTTTCGTCCCTTAATTGGGTCATGCAGTGAGACATCGTTGGCTGCGAGGACGAGGTGCAGGTGAGACTGGTGGTGGCTAGCTACAGACAGGGAGGGGACGCGATCCTTTCTCGGCATGACGGCACGAGTGCGAGGCAGTCCTCTGTGTGTGAGCAAGACACGGTGCCTGTACGGCTGTATGAAGGTTTCCGCTTGTGTGCATTCTCATTTGACGCCTTCTTTTACGGCGTTGAATTCCTAGAATTCTTGTGGGGAGCCGTGCCGCTGGTGTCCAGCACATCATACCCCACGTTCGGCACGGTCATTCCGCTTTTTTGACTCGTTCTTTGCATCCATCGAGTGTGTTGCGTGCAAGGAGGAGCGCGTCTTTTCGCCTCCTCCGCCCCCCGGGGCTGTGGCGGCAGTGAGGCGGCATGACTTCCACGCCTCCCTCGTCTTCCGCCGGCCTCTCACCCCCACCCACCCCGCCCGCGTCGGCTCCCGGCCTCGCAAGTGGTGTCAAGGTATGTGTGGAAAGAGGGATAAGCTCTGATGTCTTGCCACGGTACCTTACATCGCACGCCCGCTTTCGCTCTGTCGCAGCGCGTGTTTGTTGACGATGATGTGGGCAACGGGGTGGCACTACAGCTACTGGGCAAGCGCATGCGGCCTCCTGAGGCAGCCGGAACTCAGATTCCGACGCAACGGGTATGGATGGATGTTGGTCCGGTGACAAAAATCTCTGTTCACCCGCCTCCAATGCCGTCGTCAAGGGGCAGGGACGTGCCTGGCCCCCCTAGCGAGAGCGGGCTGGCGCTCAAGAAAGTACCGCCACCACCACCACCCGCGCCGCCAATGTCGGCCATGGCGGCTTCAACAAATCCTTCAAGTGCAAAGCTGTCTCAGGCGGTGCGAATCCAATCAGAGGGGGGGGGTGAGCCGGAGGAGGGGGATGGTGAGCTGGAGGAGGGCGAGTTGGAGGATGGCGAGGTCGAGGAGGGGCATAGCGCCCCGCTCGGCCTCGAAGCAGACCATTCTGTTCCTGCACGCAGGAGAGCCCCTCCTCCCCCACCACCCCCTCCTGCCCC